TCCTGCTGGAAAGTGAACTAGCTGTAAAAAGAATAGAGATCGTTGGCTTTGTAGTGCCTACAAAGCCCTCATGGTCAGATGTGTAGGCCTTTTAAACTCAGTTAAATTTCACTGTCAGACTTCAGTAACACAACTGGCTCGTTTCCCTCCCAGCTTCTAATACTGGGTTGTCAGACCTGAGATAACCCTACTTTTTTAGATCAGATCGGAGCAACCTTGATGGAGACAGGCATACATCAGACAGATAAATCCCCATGCAGAACTCGTTCTCCTGCATGTGCTGCAGAGCGGGCAGTGTCTGAGGAGTGTGAGGTCCCAAGGAAGGCTCATCTGCTTTGTCTTTGTTGTGGGATATATTATTTTGCTGCTTTACCTCTACATCAGTCTGAAACCTAGCCCTGTCGGCTTCAGACAGTGGCTTGTCTTTGCATTTTTCTACTGCTTGGCTCCCACGACAGAATTGGAATTGGTAGGCACGTGGCTCGTCTGTCTTTAGGAGTCATATTCTGGTGCACGTAGCAATCCTGCAACAAAAAGCTAGCCTGTCATCACAGACAAGAACAACTGGTAAGTGCAAAGTGTTTGGCTTCCAGGTCCCATGCCAAGCAGGTTTAGGATTCTTAAGCCGCACCACGAGTTTAGAAAACAACATTTGCCTAATAACTCGTGTCTCAGAAGGAGGCGGCTACAAACCGGAATGGCTGGCTCACTCTGCTCCGGGGTTTGCATAGCGGAGGTCCTCCATGCAGTGCCTGAGCACCTGGTTTGGGGTATGTTGGGAGTGGCTAAGTAGCCACCGCAAGTACAGGTGTGCGGTTTGTGTTCGAGTCACAGAGTCTGGATCCAGATCTGGTTCTGTGTTTCCCCGAAGACCAGGCTGCCTGAGAAAGCGCTTCCCTCTGGGAGTCTGATCTAGCCCATTCCTAAAGGCGCCGGAGGCATAGTTTGAATTTAGATCCAAACCAAACTTCCCCCCCCTGATTCAGAGACCAGCATGTGTATTTAGCCCACTCCCACACTTCTCTCTTTGCCAACTTACGAGGACGTGCACTAAGCACACAGGTTTCAACTTTTGGGGGCTTTTCAGGGACAGTTTTGAGATGTGTAAATACCAATATCAAGAGTGGGTGATGAAAGTAGAAAGCTGTAACAGCGCTAAACTATGGCAAAATACAGTGTCTTGCTTATAGGGCTTTGAAAATGAGGTTGAGCTACGTCAATATTGCTCAGTGTCATTTTCCTTTTGTCTCCTACCACTTGAGAAGAGACTCGCTACTAAAAAAACCCACATCTAGAGCATGAACGCAGCATCGGTGGGTCCAGCCACCGGGCTCTCGGCTCAGTGGGAGGCGATCTGAGCTTTACCGGAGTTCTCTGATATACTCTTCAATAATGAACTAGCAGTTTATATTGTCTTTGGCAGCTGCCTTATTGCAGGGGACACACCGGTGTGTCTGGAAAACTTTAGTCACGGTAGCCCTGTCACTTGTAATGAATATATGGTTCATAGTCCTTTGTGGTCCCACAACCTTTCTGTTCCACTGCTTGTGCCTATTTTGTTTCATGTTACTCTTATTAGGTGACAAAGTGAGGAGACTTGGAAAACACCTGAGTGTGCGAGAAGGTTATATTGTGCAGAGACTTACTGGGTGATAGCAAAACAGTTGACGCTGTTGGTTGAGGGAAACCCAGTTCTGGACAGAGTGTCCCTCGGTCGGTGCCTTGTGGGCAAACAGCAGCTTTCCTCATGTCCTTGCAGCGTGCTGCATTCTTGTTTTCAGCTCACTACATTGTGTTAATCAGCGTGCATTTCTGGGCTTTCCATTTCAACTGCCCAACAATGCACAATGTATAAAACCCCAGCAATCCAGCAGGATCTAGAGAAGGTACAGCACGGCTACAGCCTGGGCCTTGCAGAAACAACCCCTTTGGCAAGGGGGTCTCGCATGAATAGCCCCACTGAGCTCCATGTGCACTGGGCAAGTAAGGTCTGCTCACTGAGTTGGCAAGGTGAGGTCCTGTGTGTGGTCAGAGAAGTTGTATTTAATGAGCAGTTGCAGCCTCCAGCTGATGCAGCTTTCAGAGGTAGGCCCCTTGTGGGAAATCCAGGTTTATCCCCCTAGTGCCATAAATGCACAAGGTGCTTTGCAGACACACAGAATAGGAGCTGACCATCTGCGGGCCCGACTCCATTCCCCGTTACACTGGTGTGAATCAGATGAAACCAAGGCTGAGGGAATCGAGCTCAGACTGTCCCGCCATAGTCACCCCGATGCCCCCGATGCTTCCCTGCGGACCCGCCCTACTGCGGGTTCAGCTTGACAGCAGTCACTGTTAGTTTAATCCAGGCTCCTTTCATCTTCGGGTTTACAACTTCACACCCGTTCTGGGGAGATTACTATCCACGTCTCGCGAGGACACTCAAACTAGACGTAACCATGTGGTCCGCAGACTGACTTCACATTTCAGTGGACCTGACTCATTGTTCCCTAGTGTTTGATAAGTCGCTAAATGTTGACGTTCCTCTCTCCATACATCAGTATCTGCCCATTGATCCCTAATGGCCCCTGGGATATTGCTCTAAAACATCACTCCAGTTTTATTTGGTGCTTCTTCCAGCTCTACCTCGGCTGCCTCCGGCTGGCATTGTTCAAGTCGCTTGCAAGGACTTGGACACGTTCTGAAGCTCATGAGCCACCAGCCATTCCCTGTTGTTTGTCCCTGCCCCTTTCCTGCTTTCCGAAGGTCAGGGGCCCTTCACGGGATGCTGCTATGCTGTGTTAGCAGTGCTTCTCCCTGTGGTCCTAATTGCCTATCATGTGCCGAGAGTCCCCTTTGGCCCTGCTGGTGCTGTTCTTCTCTACCTCGCTAACCCCAAACAGAGGTGCCTGTCACCTTCCCTTTCCCATGCGTGCCAAACTTCTTATCTCTGCCCCTGTTGCCCTGTTATTACTGTCTGGGCTTCTCCTCCTTGCTCAACCCTCCATCAGTATGCCACCTCCCATCGTTCATGCTCGCTGCTGCATCCCGTGGGCCCCACCTCTCTCCTCCTCCTCCTGATGCTCTGAACGGTTCCTCTCTCTCATTCTCTGAAGCTCTGCAAAGGGTCTCAGGACCCCTTATAGTCCTGGGAGGTTGGTCAAACACTCCAGCTCAAGAGGACTCCAGGAGAGGCCACAGGCCTCAGAGGGGGGGGACCGCCCAACTTCTACCTCCATAGGCATATGCAGATAGGGCTCTGATACAAGGAGATGCCACAGTAAGAAAGTTGACACCATTATTGTCCCCTCCAGTGACATTAGGACCTGTTCTCCATTGCACTCAGGCTTGTCTCTGGGACTCTGGAAAAATAAAAGGACCTTGACAAGGGTAAGAAATAACCCCAGGGAATGTCCTGGCTGAGAGCTGGCGACCCCAGCCCCTGGACCCCTCCAGCCCCTGAAGGGTATAAATGAATGGCGAGGGGAAGGAGGGGACAGGGAGGGGGTTGATAGGGGACCATGGGAACCAGTCTGGGAAGCTCATTTCACTGTGGCCCCGGGCCCTGCCAGCCCTGTGATGGTTTACTCCTACTTTTGCCCTGCTTCTCCACTCCCCTTTCCTGTATTTACCCCAGAGAGGGAGCGAGGGGGAATTAGAGGCAACGGTTGTTAGCACTGGACTGTGAGAAACTCCAGGAGAATGGTCTTATTTAATGAAAAAGCAGAGCTGTCAGGAAGGAGCTGGGGGGGCACCACGGGTCACTGCCAGAGGTGGTGACGGATCTGTGGAGAGCAGAGGACATGGCTGGAGGAAGGATTGAGAGACTCCTTGGATGTTTTATTTGCGGGGCTTCTTTAATAACGTATCTCGCTTACTCGATTGTGAACTGCGAGGCACGCGGGCAAGGCGCTGCTTTGGTGACTGAGTTTGTGTCCATGTCATGCTAAAATATGCCAGGCCGCGGAGTTCAAAAGAATTTGGGAGCAGCCGTCGGCTTTTTCCTAAACCTGGTTATAATCTAGGGGGATTGTCAGCAGTTAATCAACTGGAATAGACTCCCCCTCCCTTGGCCTTGCAGGTTGAGTGGCAGGCTCCCCTGGAATTTCATAAGCAAACTCGCTTGCTATCGACCCCCCGCTGTAAACTGCTGCCCCGTGGAGCAGCTGAGGAGCCGCGGGGGGACAATTGCCATGGCTGTTGATTGAATTACATGCGGATTTGGAAAGCGAAGGCATGTAAACGTAGCCGGAACGAACACGGGCAACGCCTTTGAACCAAGTCTTGTGACGCAATTAACTTTCAGACCCACAAAGGAGAGACAGTCGTAAATGAGTTGCCAGGCCATATAATGGAGCTCGTTGTCTGAAACACTTAGTGTCAGGGTTCCCCCTCCATCCATCTAAACCAGCTGATTCAGTAGGGAGTGTAAGAGATTTGTTCCTGGGTTTCTTCTGGGCAGTGACCCTGGGTAAGGTGTTGGTGCCTGATTCAGGGAAACAGTCCTTGTCAGGAAAGGATGCACTTAAGCCCCATTCAAGTCAATGGGACTCCAGCACATGCTCAAAGCTAAGCTTAGGCTTAAGTACAGTTCTGTATAGGGGCCTTGATATCAAACCAGGGAAAAGAATATATGCTACACATTAGTCAAAGCAATCCAATTTTACATCAATATTTATTTCTTTTCCATTATATATCATTTTTACGCAGGTGCTTGTGGGATGGATAGACGTCAGAACACATACATAATGGAAAAAAGCTTCAAAGGTATAGTATCAAATGCTTGCAGTTCCCCTAGCAAAGCGTTTGACAGGAGGGGTGGCGTAGGGGAGGCGAGATAGGACCTCTGAGCCCCCAGCAGTGATTCTGCGTGGAAAGCAGGGACAGGGAAGCGGCATACAGCTGGACTCTGAGCCCACGCTCTGTAAATTATGGATGCAGGTCTCTGAAAGGCCATAGGCTCATGGCGAGGTGCTGGCACTGGAGCAAGACTGGGAGGCACTAGGATATTCGGATGAGCTGCTCTACCAAGCTGCTGCCCAGCCAGGTAGAAAGCTAAAAGTCCCTGGCACTTTTAGATGCTCTGAATTTCCTAAGCCAACGTCCTCCCAGGGCTCGGTGGGAGCAGTCGCTGAGCTCTGCTCAGTACCACTAGCACTTGGCATCCTGCTTTCTAAAGCTCCTTCGGGCACCCTGAGCAGGAACAGGGCCTTTAAAACCACCTGCCTTCTGTTTTGCCAGGTACCCTCCCCAGAGAGCATTTCTACCCTAGACAGGGACTAAAAGATGAACCGGGCTCCTCATTCCACCACAGTAGCTTTGATCAGTTGCCGCAACACTGAATAATTAAACACACACTGAATTAGATAGAGCAGCTGTGAAAGGTGAGCACTCAGGGCTCACAGGGATGCAGCTCAGACGTAAGCCCAGCTGCCTTCTTATGTCAGAGCCTCACAGTCCCTTGGATTAGACAGGATCTGAAAGCACAAACCCAGTACAGAGTCAGGCCCCAACCCAGCCCTTCAAGTGACTTAGGTACCTACTTCCCATGAAGTTCAG